GCGAATTAACTCGCTAGCTCACTTAGCTACTTCTGTGACACCCAATATTGCGTCGCATACTGTATATGTACATGTGTATAAGGGAATATGTAATGGTAGGGCGATCGATACACATGAAACTACGAGCGATATATAATATATATATATGTAGAGAGAGAGAGAGAGAGAGAGAGAGAGAGAGAGAGAGAGAGAGAGAGAGAGAAATATATGTATGTATATAGATATAGAGATAGATAGAGATATGTATATATATGTGTAAATAAGTAGGTAGATAGATAGATAGATATATAATGTCGGGCTAAACGGACTTGTCTCCGCTTAAGATTAATAATTAGAACAAGCTAATATACATATATAAAAATAGCCTAGAATATCAACTATTCTACCATTTTCTATGTTATATTTTTACCATACTCTATATTTTTCTTTATTATAATAAGTATTATTAGTAAGCGCCGAATTCCACATTCCGATATTCTCGATCAGTTTCAGAACATTATTTTTCTACGTTATTCTGTTTAATGATGAAAGATTGTATCCTTTATCGAGCGAAGAACTTTAATATCTCTTATGTAGCACTGATACTCTTGTTCGCGAATGTTTAAGAAGCTCTGCAAGCTTTGGTTAGAAAATTAATATTTGTGAAACTTCGCAAGAAGAAGTAAGCAAATTCGATAAAGGATTAATCACGAGTATAGAACATAGAGAACATATAGAATGATCATAGAAGTTCCGCGATATATATGAATAAATGCAATTAAATTTGCAACATTTGATTTAGCCTGACCGACATTGATTCGCCTAGCCGCTGTCATCGAGCTCGTCTAATAAGCAAGTTTATCCGACTTTATCAGAATTTCCCACTTTTATTCGACCTCGATTGCCCGTCAAGCATAACAGCCAAACGTTCTATTTAATAATACAACTCCAGAAATTTTTATTTCACTCTTGATTTCTAAAAATTCGATTTTAATCATAATGATTTTGAAAATAAATAATAATTGATTATGCGATATTATTCTGCATTCTTTTATCTTAATAGCTCTATTTTTTTATCTTAATAGCGAAATGTTTTACAACAATATAGCATTTTATGTTCAGTCGGAAATGAAATAAAGTCACGAGATCAAATTGGACAATCGGGATCAGTGATCTCGAAGCCTAAGAAAACGAATGGAGAAGGAAATTGCCGTGATGCTTCCTTTTGCAGCAATTATGGGTCTGTGCGCGCGTATAGGGACCGCTTTTCGTGATCTTTTCCCCTTTTGATTGTCCGAGGGCGAAGTCCCACCACGGCGAATGAAGATTATGAGGAAACAATGCCCTTTTCTTCTTCTCGTCCACCTTTCTCTCTCAGGTTAATATAGCGGCACACCACTGCAATGCTTAGCCGGCACAGGCATGCAATTCTCAAACATCCTCTACTACCAGTCTTAAAATCACGAAGTCTGAATCTTTTTCGAAATTTCATTTTTGGTAGGTAGGTAAGTGTATGCGTGTAAAAATATAAGATTAAAGGAATTAGTATACTCTTGAAAGCCTGCTTATATTTCGCATAAGTAAGTGTGTATGTATATGTGTTCATCTCTAGAAGTTAATATGTAGGAAGGCTGATATACATTGAAGGACTATCTTGGACAATCATGTATAAAAGTAACATATTTTTTAGACAGATTTTTTTTTCGCGTTTATTACATTATAGAAATCTAAATAATTTATATCGTTCTACGTATATGAAGCGCATATTTCTGAGGAAAAAAATGTTTTGAATATATTGAGATGATATATATTTTAATTTCCTCGCGTTTTTATTAATTTAATTTTATCATGATTTTCAGAGTGCAGATTTATTTCTTAAAGTACATAAAAAAACAATATTGTGTATATACAATTAAGCAAATTAAATTTACATTATTTCATATTTATTTAAAATTAATAATTTCTTAAAACAAATATTACGGGATTGTTTCTTTTCCAAAGTTAAAGAAAGTTGAATGAAATTAAGCTGAATGAAAGAATGTCTTATATAACTTTGAAAGGATTTTCAGGAAATTAGGTCGAATATTTTTTATTCACTACAGATATCCATGTCTGATATGAGAGAATATGTGTGGATTTGTGTTGTATGATTGTTTTTTGTCATCTAAGCAGCGATGTAATTTATCAAGTCTCTAGCAAAAAATCTCGTGAAGGCAAAAAGAAGAAAGAGAGAGAGACAAAAGAGAGAGAGAGAGAGAGAGAAAGAGAGAGAGAAAAAGACATATGTAATATATAAAACAGGTATATTGTTAGGTGTCCAGCTGATAGCAGTAAAAAACGAAGAAATGAAAACCAATGCCGAAAGAGCAAAGGCATGTTAGGTCTTGCGTAAAGCCGCTTTTCGCTTCTCATTTTTTTTTTATTTACACTTGACTATCCTCTATCTACTTTTGAGCCACCGTCTCATCTCTCCCCGATCATTCATCCATTATATATTAAATTACATCGGCATGGCATGATTTATCACGATAAGTGATGACAAAAGGACAAATAAAGTAATTGAGAGTATTGAGATTATTAATTAAGTGGAATAATACGGTGATTTTTCAATGTCATAATCAATATAATTATTGCAAAACCATTAAAATATATATAAGTAATTATTATTACAGTTTATAGCTATTGAAAAAATATTAAGATTGTATTATTAATTTTTCTATTATGAAATTGATGTATTATCTTCATTCAAAAATTTTCATTGTTTTATTTGATCCTTGTATTCTTAGATATATCAGATTTTTTTTTGTCAATTATACACTGTATACAAACTACTTATTGCTGCTACAATTATTTTTACTACGCATGTAACTATCTTTTTAAAACACAGGATAATTTTTAAAATAAATAATTTTTGATCATCAGAATATCTGGGTTGAACATTATTCGGTTTGAAA